TTGAGATAACATTGAAACCTTCTTCATCATCTCATACTTTCCCACTCAAGATCATATACTGACTTGATCATCTGAGGAACAACCAAAGAACCCAACTTCGACCTCTTATGAGTTCTTCATATGCAGGGTTGAATAGCTATCTACAGAGATAGTCATCTAAAGGAGTTTGAGGACCCTTACTCTACTTTAATCCCTAAATAAACCCCCTGTTAGATAACCGACGTCAACATTTTAGTTCCACCGTGGGGCCTGTCATCCTTCTTCATACAAGATGTCTATTTCTGAGTGTCCTGGTTAAACTTTTGACCCCTTATGTGAAGAATTGCGTATGGGCTGTCATTCAGGCCCAGTTGGAAGAATCTATATGGAGGGTCTTTCAGTCTCTTTAGCAACAATTTGCTGCTTTCACCAGTGAGCTTCTCAGTCGAAAACCTACCTAACAACCCTCATCATCTTTCATTCCTCCACTTCCGGTGAGTCAGTCATTCGTTCCCCCACTGCCTAGGCTTAAAGCCTAAGCTGGATAGCAAGAAGACTATGTCGAACACGTTTCTCCCCTGCCTCGCCAACAAGATTTGATACGAGTTGCCGTGCGAGCACCCTTTGGTCGCGGAATTACCAAAAGGTAGGTTGAGAAGAAGATAACTAAAACACAAGACAATTTAATATGGCGAAGGAAAATACCTTCTTCTAGATTATAAAGAACAAAAGATTACAATCTCTCCCTCACAATCTCACTAGAATCGAGAATAACCTCTCAATCCTCTCTAAACCCTAATACAAAGATTAGAATCTCTCTCTGATCTAAGATCATAAAACTTATGTTTAGAAATCCTAAATAACCCTTTATATAGGTGTACAAATGTGGATGGCAATCTGGTAAATAACCAAGCCCAAAACCAACAGGAATTCGTGTGAACAGAAACCCAAACGAATCAAGAAACTGTCGATGAGTCGACTCATGACTGAGATGAGTCGACTCAGAACCTCATATGAGTTGACTCATAACTGATGAGTTGACTAGTCAGAGACTTTTGCTAACAGGGCTTGATTTCGTGAGTTGACTCATGACAGTCATGAGTCGACTCAACCTGATGAGTTGACTCATGTACATGTATGAGTCGACTCACGAGCTGAAAACTAGATTCTTCGAATCTGCTGCTCGCCGTCTCGTTCCACGCTTCCTCCTACATTCTACTGTATTGTTTTACACCCCTATTCTCATACTATCATGAGAATCATCTATCCTCAAGCTCCCATGAGGATCGCTAAGTTCCAAAGAGAAGATACACCCGTATCAAGATCACTTTACAGCTCCTCCTCGGCACTGCCGGCAATATAAGGAAGCAACATTTGAGAGCTCTATTTTCAGTCATGAAGATCGAAATAATACCGCTAGCACTACTTCACGTGATCCTGGACATCTTTATGTTGCTCCACGTCCCTCAACCACCAATATTGCGTCTGGTTACAATCGGACTTCCTAGCCAATTGTAAAGACCATCGGAAGGAATACTCCTCTCGCTGACCCCACCATGAACACCATGTGTGAGATATTTAAGATGCCACACATGGAGAAGTACAAGGGCAAAGGAGATCCAATTGGGCATACTCAGAACTATTATGACATGATGACCATGCTGCAAGTCTCAAAGCCAATCATCTGCAGGTGTTTTCCCATCACATTATCTAAAAGTGCCAAGCTAGGTAGAACTCCTTCCTAAAAAAGTCTATCAGTAGCTTCAAACAGCTCAACCAGAAGTTTGTGCATCACTTCTTGGCCGACACAAAGCAAAAATTGCCTCCTCATGTCCTGCTTAGATGAGACAAGAGCCTGGAGAGAGCCTCAGGGATTATCGCAAGAGTTTCCAGGCCAAGAGATTAGAAGGCGATGAACCTAGTAGCGTAGTCACGATGTCCGTTGTCATGGCCGGCTTGGAGAGAAATGAGTTGTCTGAATCACTCGTTAAGAAGCGAGTCACTAGCTTTGAGCAATTGATGGCTAAAGCTCACGGGTAGGTAGACGTGGAGGATGCCCAAGACTATAAGAAGGCGACCAGGGTGGCTGAAGTAGCAGCAGAGGTTGACCCCTCGCCCAAAAAGGAGGCGACAAAGCATCCTTCTAGAGTCGACGTAAGGCCGAGTAAAGCCAACAAGAGGGATCGAAGGACGGAGGCTGCCAGTAATCTAGCCCCCACTGCTCTTATCACCTCTCTCTTAGAAGCTTACTACTAGGTCCAGAGAGAGGAGCTTCTCAATTCCACCCCTCTTCGTATGAAGTTGGATCATTGATCTCGAGGCATCAAACAATATTGTTGATATCATTGAGATTATTGCATCATACTAATGATTGTCGAGTCCTCAAGAGAGACATTGAGGACTTGATAAAGAGAGGATACTTAAAGAAGCTCATTTCCCAACGATGCAAGAGAGAACCTGCTCCCGGTGGACTCGACAGGTTGTCTCGCTCTAGGTCACCTTTCCCTCAATAGTTTCCACACACCTAACCGGCCGAGGCCAGCAATAGAAGTGTCATCAACACCATTAGTGGTGGGCTTACGATGGGTGGGATGTCCAATAATGCTCGGAAGAAATATGCTAAGCGAGCACTGCAGGTCAACATGTGCAACAAAAAGCCAAGGACGGACCAGCCCATCTCCTTCGGCGACTCAAATTTGAAAGGCATTAAAATGGCTCACGACGACCCTCTCATCATATCGGTGAAGATTGATAGCTTCCAGGTCAAGAGGATATTGGTCGACATCGGGAGTTCAACTGACATCCTATTTATCGATGCCTTCAACCAGATGGGCATCGATAAGTCCAAACTATAGCCTTGCCGAGGTCCACTCATTGGATTTATAGGACATTCACTTATACCAAAAGGGACAATCACTCTCCCCTTAGTGGTCGGCGAATACTCTCAGCAGTTCACCATCCAGACCCAGTTTGTGGTAATGAACGGAACCTCAAGTCGACTTACACCGTTATTTTAGGAAGAATTACCTTCAATAACTTGCATGTGATCCCGTCTACTTACCACTAGATGGTGAAGTCCCCAGTTTCTGAAGGAGTCGAAATTGCCAGAAGCAACTAGCGAGAAGCTAGATCCTATTACCTGCACTCGATGAAGGGAAAATGAATACTGGAGACCCTGCTCATCGAGAAGATACGCCTCTAAATGGAGAAAGAATTAAAGCGGGAGAGAACAACCTCCATCGAGGAGTTCCATGAAATATCAACCAAGGAGCAATAAAGAAGGTCAATATCAGATCAAGCCTCACCGAACCACAACGAGGAGATATGGCCTATTTCCTACAAAAGTGTTGTAAATAAAAACCCTAATCTTATTCATGAGATAAGATGGGCTTATATAGGCCCCTACAACTTACACATAAGCCCCTAAACATATTACTATTTCAACACTCCTCCTCAAGATGGGCGAAAGATATCCACTAAGCCCATCTTGTCACATCCTCTAATCATATCTACTGAGCTAAGCCCCTTAGTCAGACAATCTGCTGCCTGATCCTTAGTTGGAACATGACTTAACTCCAGTAGTCCATTGTCCAACTTCTCTTTGATGAAGAACCTATCGATCTCGATGTGTTTGGTTCTATCATGCTGCACTGGGTTGTTGGCGATACTGATGGCTGACTTGTTATCACACCACAGCTTCATCTTGGCTCCTTGATCCAGCTTCAGCTCCACCAACATACTCTTTAACCACAATAACTCTGTAACTCCTAAGGCCATGGCTCTATATTCTGCTTCAGCTGTTGATCTCGCTACCACCGATTGCTTCTTGCTCTTCCACGAGACCAAGTTACCTCCTACAAAGATACAATATCCTGAGGTGGATCTCCTGTCATCAGCACAGCTAGCCCAATCAGAGTCGCAATAACCCTCGATGTTCACATGTCCATTCTTCCTGAATATCAGTCCCTTCCCGGGGGCACTCTTTAAATATCTCAGAATCTGGTACACAGCGTCCATATGACCCTTCCTCGGATCGTGCATGTAGCGACTCACCACGCTCACTGCAAAAGAGATATCAGGACGTGTGTGACTCAAATAGATCAATCTTCCCCCCAGCCTCTGGTATCTGTCACGGGCTAGGGTTAGGGTTTTGGTGGCTCTGATACCATGTTGTAAATAAAAACCCTAATCTTATTCATGAGATAAGATGGGCTTATATAGGCCCCTACAACTTACACATAAGCCCCTAAACATATTACTATTTCAACAAAAAGAACGCGGATGTATTTGCTTAGGGGCCTGAAAACATGCTGGGGATTCCCCTTGAAGTGGCGAGCCATAAGCTCTCAGTCGACTGACACACTAAGCCAGTTCGACAAAAGAAAAGACATCTCTACCTAGAGAGGCAAAAGGCGGCTGGTTGCCAAGGAAGTCGACCGACTCCTTGAGCCAGGACAATATCCAGTATGGCTGTCCAATGTGGTCCTGGTAAAGAAGTCTCTTGGCAGATGAAGAATGTGTGTGGACTTCACAGATCTCAACAAGGAGTGCTCAAAAGACAGTTACCTCATTCACAGGATTGACCAACTTGTGGATGAGAGTGCGGATCATGAATTACTAAGCTTCATGGATGCTTTTTGTGGCTACAACTAGATCCTTACGGTGGAGCATGACTAGGAGAAAACCTCATTCATTACGGACCAATGAACCTATTGCTACAGAGTGGTGCCATTTGGTCTTAAAAATACAGGCACTACCTACCAGAGGTTGGTCAATAAAAATTTTAAGCCTCAGATTGGTCGCAATGTGAAAGCCTATGTGGACGACATCCTTGTGAAATCAAAACAGGCGTCGTCTCATGTGTCGGATCTTGAAGAAACTTTCTCCGTCGCATTAAGACTATCTCCTATAGAATGCAAAATATATTGTTTCAACCCTCAAATGTTTAATTAATCAGCCATCAAATTAAAATAAAATTTTCCACCAATCATAACTGTGTATTTGAAGACCATGACATTTACCTTCGCTAAATCTCCCACCGGGGTCGAAGCCGCATGAGTATTCACACAGTTCACCTGAATGGATCAGTCCAAACAATTCAATGCTTAACTAATAATAAAAAAACAAAGAAGTCATTTAAAAAATGAAGAACAAAGAAACACCTTCATCGTATATCTCATAATCACGGCCCAACTGAGATGGAGATGGAGGCTCTACAATCTTGTAGTCATGCGACGGCTCACTGGGATGGGGATGGGTGACTTCATGTTGGAAAGAGGAACATGGAGAAGTGGGGCTCGGCTGTTTTGTGGGGAAGAGGAACAGCGCACGTATTTTTCTTTTTTATTCTCTTTTTTTTGGAAATATATTTTTAGGATATTATAGGCTTTCAAATTTTAACTACTTTCAGTTTTCTTATTGCTACAGGAGATTTTTTTTACGTTGAAATTTTTTTGAATTTCAAATTGATTTTCCGTGATTTAAGGAACTAATGTATTTTGCTTCATTTTGGTTATCATTACGCGAAATTGTAGAGGATTTAAAATTTTCCATATATTCAAATATATATATGAAACTTCCCTTAATTTTAAAACTATCTAATAAAGGATGCCACGTGTCAATTTCTGGTGCATTTTAATTTCGGCAAGTAGAATTGGGTGGTTCACATTGAATAGAGAGCAAACCTATGTGGAGGAAAATATTTAAGAGAAAAAAGATGATGTGTCATCCTCTGGAGAGCTATAGTCAAGGGTAGGGATGGAAGCGAACCAAATATTTAACAAATATTTTAGTATTTATTCGCCTAAGTATTTGATTATATTCGATTCGATAGTTTATTTAATAATAAACAAATAGTTTTTATTATTCGGTTTATAAATAAATAGAATTTAACCATAGGTATATTCAATTCCTTTGTTTAATAAAATATTCATTTATACAGTTTAATCCTTAAAATTTTATTCCTTAAAATTTTATACAGTTTAATCCTTAAAATTTTATTCTGTTGCTTGTAAATATGGATAAATAGATTTTTATTTGTGAATAATATATATCAATGTGTTGCATATTCATCAAGTACGTCCTGTTTGGTTCTATTGCAACACTAGGATAGCAAATATTTGCAGAATATCTAATAAATATGGAGCAAATAATTTACAAAGATAACCCAAACACTATTAATGAATTTTCGCGAATAGTTGTTAAATATTCAAATACTATCCAAATCGAATACTGATTTTGTATTCATTTCGAATTCGAATAGTCGAATAGGAGCTTAATGCGAATACGAATACTGAGGTGTTCGATTCAAATTTGGTTCGTATCCACCCTAGTCCTGGGGTTGTTCTTTAAGGTATACCTATAATAATAAAGATTAAAAGTGTAATATAACAATACATAAATGAAAACAATATTTCCACGTCAACTTTATTTTCTATACTTTCAAGATTTATTTATTGAACAAATAGTCAAATACTCAATTTCAGTTATACTTCGACATGGATGGATATATGTTCCCG